CAGTCCTCTCTCAGGGTGAGGTCTTAAGTAAGGCTGCTAAGATGATAACTAAGCCGTTTGTCAGCACTCTTCTCGAATCCCGAACCCTGGACAGTGAGGCTCACGTTTCCACATTTCCACCTACTGAAGAATTCGTTAAGAGAAGTAAGCAAGCTGTGCCGTATTTTTAGTTTAATTTTACAATTAATCTGGAACTCCACCTATTCTTTAAAAACTCACTATAAATTATATCACTCGAGTAGTGTAACTTCAAAACACAAAAGCACATGCAGACAGCTATCCAGATGTCTCTCCCTCTCTGAACCTCCTGAAATCTAAAGCATGAACTATTACTTTCTCAGACCTTTTCTTAATGAATCCAAATCTGATTCAAACTAACCTGTCTTGAAATTCTTTTATGCAGTGTAAGTCAACACCCTAGCCTCCCTTCAGCTAGAACTTCTCTGGAAATACTTGGAAGCACCTGCTGCCAGAGCATTATAAATTGACTGGAAAATTAGAATACAGGTAGGATACGATACAATGTTAAATTTGTACAGTACATAACTTCATTGTGGCTATATAACAAAAGATCTGCATAAAGAAATACCCATTTAGTACCAGGAATAAACAGCTACACCCTCCAAGTTAACTGTGAAATCATTCATCTAAAATGCACATATGATACCATGGCATTTACATACAGAGGCAGATAATAATCTAGTTTTGAAAATATCATTAGGTGGCCTGGGTCAAGGACACAGGTGTTCTTTCTCCTTTTCTTTTTGTATCCTTTCGAAATTATGCACAAAAGAAAAGCTGGAAGGCTATAACAGCTGTAAAAACATAGCATTCTTCACAGGTTTAAATGATGAAACCGGAAAGACAGGACTGGAAGAGGGCAGCAACACCACTGCCTCATTCCAAACTCCTGATGTCTGAGTCGGTGCAGCCTGGAAGCTATGTATATGGAGCTGCCTATGATGTGGAAGAGATGCTCAAATACAATACACCACTCAAAGAAGGCAATTCATGAACATGCACAATTTGATACTTCTCTTTAAAACGCATGTGCTAAAGGGCTGGCGAGACACAAGTGCCTATTCATAGCTGTCATCTTGGGAAGACAGAGTATAGGCGATTACACTTTCCTCCTTTAAATCTGTCTAGGCTTTCCAGTTTTTTGTTTGTTTTCTGCCACAAATGCATGTTATCTGGATGATATAGGAATAAAAATAAAACAATACACTAAAAATTCTGGCTTCTGATTCCTGGCATTCAGAGTGTATTTTCTAACGAAGATATTCTCTTACAAAATTTACATAAAAGTCAAAACCTTATAATAGGTGCTGGAGAGATGGCTCAGTGATCAAGAGCACTGATTGCTCTTCTAGAGGAGCTGGGTTCAAGTTTCAGCACCCACATGGCAGCTAAAAACTGTCTGTAGATATAAGATCTGACACCCTCACACAGATATACATTCAGGTCTAAACATCAATGCAAATGAAGTAAAAATAAATAAATTTTTAAAAACTTGTAATAACAATTCTTGCTTTCTTTCACCAGCTTAAAACAACAAACTAGATCCTAACTGCACTTCATAAATTAATTCTTGGGCTGGGGATAAAACTTAGTGGTCGGGAGAATGCTTGCTTAGCCAGCTTGAGGCACTGGGTTCAGGCCTCAGTACTGGAGACTGACAGGTGTACTTCGGTCCTGTCACAATGGGAATGGAATCATTTTTGTTTTCATTTAGTGTTCATAAGCCTCAAATAAAATACTTGAAGCCACACATGAAAAACAAATATGAAATATTCCATTGCCTTTAAAGATAACAGGAACATAAATGACATAATGACATAAATGACAATGACGCTCTACTGCCAATACCAGCCCAGATTTGAGAGAGAATTAACAAAGAAAGGGAGAGAGCACCTGGCTAGGCATGAAGGCCACACAAGGATGCAAACAGGCTGCCTTCCACAAAGGGCAGGAGAAGATGATGTTGAGCCTGGAGAGCTGGCTGCCCGCAGCTGCTAGCCCACAGAGCTCCACCCCAGGTGGCTCAGGAACTTGAGAGCAGATCCTCTCTATGCCACCAAATGGTGATGAAGGTGGAAATTTCCTGTTTGTTTTTGTTTGTTTGTTTTTGTTTTTCCACTTTACGACCTATGAGGGGAAGGGGGAATCCTCCCTGTTCACATGGAGCACAAAATGGGAAAACAAAGAAGCCAAGTGCAGTGAAGTCCATGGGGAGTAAGGTCAGAGGGAAAAGGACCCACCAGGACTCAGGGTGACTAACATCAGACCCTTTGATTTAAACAGATAGAAAAACGGTTATAGAACTCAAGGAACTTACAAGGGGCACACTGTGGAGAGAAGGGTGCCATGTCCAGGGGATAAAGAACTAAGAAGCACTTGTATATCCACAGCTGAAAATGGAAGAACGGAGGAAAGGGGGCAGGGTCAGAACTTAACACACTGCCTCACGCTGTGCAACTAGGAAGCTGTACTGTCAAGTTCTGTGAGGTTCTTCGCCAACACTGCCCATCAGCATCCCCAGCCCCTGGTCCCTTAACCTTCACTGAGTGTCTTCAAATGTATCATCATCATCATCATCATCATCATCATCATCATCATCATCATCATCATCATCATCATCATCATCATCTGTGTGATATGGATGGGGATGCTTAGGGGTCTGTCAGAGGACAACTGAGTGGAACCACTTGTTTCTTTTCACCATGAATGGTTCTGGGGACTGGACTCAGGTCATCTGGCTTACATGACAAGCATTTATCAGATGGGCTATCTTGAATGACGTCAACTGTATATATCTGAGGTATACAATACCATGTGCTGATGCAGTATGCACAGGGAAATGTCATTACAGCCAAGCAAATTAACACAGCTTTGCTTTGAATGACTCTCCCTCTTTGTGTGGCAAGAACATCCATTCTCTTCACAAACCTGAATATCACTAACTGTAGCCTTCATGCTATTTGCCACACCTGTAGCTTTATAGCCAGTGACCTACACACGTGCCCATTCCTCCCTCTTTTAACTAGGAAGCAAACAAATGGGGGGAAAAAACTTCAGTTTGATTTTAAAAAATAAAATTTGAAGCTGGGAATGATGGTACATGTCTTTACTCCCAGCACTTGGGAGTCAGAGGCAGGCAGATCTCTGTGTTTGAGGCCAGCCTGCTCTACATGGTTTCAGAACAGTTACAGCTATATAGTGAGACCCTGTCTCAAAACAAACAATAAATAAAATAAATGAAATTTGAGATACTTATCTACAAACAAGTTATATTTTCCAATAAGAGTCTGTACCTTTTAAAATTCAACACACACTTATTTCATAAAGATACTCTGCTTTTTTGTCTTTGTTTTAAGAGACAGGGTTTCACAGCATAGCCATGGCTGTTCTGAAACTTCCTCTGTAGACCAGACTAGCCTTGAACTCATGGAGATCTGCCTCCTATGCCTACTGAGTGCTAGGATTAAAGGTGTGAGCCATCACTGCCAGGCAGCAATACTCTGTTTTTTACAAAAGGGTAGAAGTGGCAACACAGCTCAATGGTAGAGCACTTGCCTAGCACAGATGAGGTCTGGAGTCTGAACCTCAGCACTAGGGCTAGAGTAGGGCTGGGATTTTCTCTATTCTGCTTTAGTCTATAAAGACGTTTGCTCTAACACCCTAGGTTGTTGCTGAAAGGAAACCACAGGCTAATGTTAGTGAATATATTTTGCACATTACACAAAAGTATCATCAAGATGTCACTGCATCTTTACTAATGAGCATACAAAGCACCCAGGAAAGTAGCAAATTGTGTATAAGGGCACTCTTGCTATAAAATTTTCTTTCTTTCTTCCTTTTTTCCTTCCTTCCTTTCTTCCTTCCTCCCTCTGTCCCTCCCTCCCTCCCTCCCTCCCTTCCTTCCTTCCTTTTCTGAGACAGGTTTCTCTGTGTATCTGTGTAGCTCTGGCTGTCCTAGAACTTGCTCTGTAGACCAAGCTGGACTCAAACTCAGAGATGTGCCTGCTTTTGCCTCTGCCTCCCAAGTGCTGGAACTAAAGACATGCACCACAACACCTGGCTCTTGCCATAAGAGTTCACCAAACGTTTGTTACTTATATGAGTTAAGCTTCTCTTATATCTGGATATACATAATGAACTATATCCTAGAAAAAGAGATGAGCCCTAAGTCTAACCAGGAAATTCATTTGCACCTTAAGAACATCTTATAAACATGGCCTGAAGATAATTTTCAAAAGCATGTTTGGTGTACACACACTTAACTGTGACTGGTCAGTGATAACGGGTTAGAATTTCATGTGGCATATGTCAATGCTAAAAGATTCCCAATTTCCAGGTCAGAATGCTCCACCTATGTAAGTTTCCATCTTACATTGAGTGTTGAGACTCGGGCCTCTCTGATCATTTGGATGCTTTTATGCTCTGAGCAGGGAATTACCAGTCTACAGAATCTCACATAGTGAGAAAATAAGATTCTCAAAAGACTGAACATAGAGATCCCACAGGGAAAACACAGGCATAGCAGGAACTCTGATGGAAACAAGGTAACATTACTGAACTGGCCTGAGAAGAGCAGACCTGGTCTTAAAAATCAATCATTTCAAGTCATGATGATGCTGATGAATTCAGTAATACAAATGTGACTAGACATACATCCCAAAGGACATTTTCTCTAAAGCAAATATTATCTAACAGAGAAGAGTGAAATTAACTTAATTCAACAATAACCTACCTTTTATTTTATAAATAGTCATATTGTTGTCACCTTCAGGGCACAGGGAGATGGACCATCATACTCTGAAGGTGTGTTACAGATACAAAAATTAAACAGGGATATATCTATGTTTTAAATTTTCAAGACATGTGTGTCCAAGTCCAAAAAAAATGTTTTCAGAAATTATTTTTTCCTATTTCAAAAATAATTAAGAGTCACCCAAATCTGGTAAAGGTAAGGCATTCCAGATGCTTCAATTACTTACAATATCATAAATTTCCCGATCATCCTCATCAGCCAGGGTCAACAGAGCTACCAACGGATAGCGAGATCTGGGAACTGGACCAAAGTCTTCAATTTCAGTATCTCTCGGTAATTGGCAATATATTTCTTCTTTGCTGTGCTTTTTAATACTTTTGAATACGTAAAGGCAAATTGCCAAAAGAACAAAAATATTTTAAAGAGTCAATAACTTGGTGACACTTTACTGTATCCACAGCCTCCTGTTTCTGTGCCAGTGGGTGTATCTGGGAAAAGGATACAAATACTGTTCCCGGTGGAGATAGTCGCTGTACAGGGCCTCTTCTAACGCTTGTGGGGTGCTTATCCTGAAGCAGTACCTGTGCTTCTGAAGAGCTTCATAGAGCCTTTGGACACTGCACCCCCAGAAGCATGTAAGACGGCTGTCTTCAAGGCAATCTGTTGTCAAGGTCACGCCAGCTATAGAAAACAAATCAGAGAGAGATGGGTGTCACCCAATATAGCAGATACTAAAATACCAAGGTGTGAGAAACACAGGCTTTTTTCTGGACGATGGCCAACCTGATGGCAGTTTTTAAACGCTGTTGAAGGATATTATCTACAAATATAAAAATGTCAATAGTTATGCAGAATTTGAGCAATGCAGTAACATTTTATTATTCTTTAAAATTATTGTCTTTAAAATGATTGGTCCAATTTTCCTATTGGTAACTAAAACCATCTCTTCCTAATAATATATGCAATCATTGTGTGATTAACACAAGGGTCAAAACAGCAGAGTGGAGCCATCCAAAATGGTTATAAACAACCCAGAGGGTCCGGATGCAGATCACTAAAGTAAGAAAAACACTAAAAAGAAACTGCACTTGATTATTAACATACACAATTGATGGGGCACGTCCTTCTGTGCATGTTTATCTTACTGGTTGTTGAATAAAGCACTGTTCAGCCAATTAGGCAGAAAGATAGGTGGGACTCTAGGAGTCAAGGAGGATTCTGGGAAATGTAGTAGTCTTTTGATCCAGGCAGGAAGTGACGTAGCAGGCAGACTCAGAATATAAGCAGGGACAAACAGGAAGTCACCCTCTTCTGCTTCCTCCTCCTCTCTGCTCTGGAGCTGCCATGTGATCCCAGCAAGACACCTGCCACTGGCATCCAATCAGATAAGTCTTTATAAAATATATAGATTAAGAAATCCTAATCATTGGCCAGCAGCATTGTACCTAATATTAATCTCTGTGTGTTATTTTGGCCACCCACGTGACGGGTAGAACTCGAGCGGCAGGCGGAAAGATTTACCGTCACACACAATGGCAGTGTTAATGTCCACCACAGGGATAGTGTTCTACAAGTATACAGAACAGCCCAAGGAATGGTTAGGGATGCCAACCATGGAAGGTTCAATAGCAATATTCTTGTTTTCTCTTTGCTTTCAACAAAAGGAGGCTACAATGTCAGTAGACCTGATGAGTAGATAACTAAGTGCCATACAAATTGCATGTGTGGTTTTATATATGGATTCTATGCTTACATAGTACTTTAAGTGCTACCAACATGATTGTTTTCTCTCCTTACTAGTGGCAGTTGAAGCATACCAAGTTCAAAGAGCAAGACTTCTGGTGTCTCATCTTGTTGGCAAGGGGAGCTGCTCAGAGGCGGATGTGTTTGACTAGACCTACATGCAATATGGGTCACTGTTCCTAGCGCTACACTTAGCTTCTGAACCTAGCCTAGATCCACCAGGAACTCTGCAGGTCTCAGTGTGCCTTTTCTGCTGCTTATAACAGGAAGTGTGATTGATTTGTCACCTATTTTAAAAAACGTGATCAAGTCAGGCAATGGTGGTGCACGCCTTTAATCCCAGCACTCGGGAGGCAGAGGCAGGTGGATCTCTGTGAGTTCGAGGCCAGCCAGGTTTACAAAGCTACATAGAGAAGAAGCCCTGTCTTGAAAAACCAGAAAAAAAAATGTGATCAAGAGAAAATACTGTGGGAAGATACACAAAATTCAAGCAAATGCTTCACAGGATGAGCAAGATGGTTCCCTTACTCTTCTTCTACTTTGGTGGTTATGTGTGATAACAGTATGATGGCAGTGACAGAGGACCACATATAATTAATCAAGCACAAATTTTAATTAGCAGGAACCCTGCATAGGCAACTGGATTAAATTTCTAGTTGAAATATTTACTGGATTTCAGCCAGGTATTGATTGACTGACAACTGAAAAGGAATCATGCACTAGAAGATAAAGAAGAAGAGCCACAGCATCCGCAGAATTCTCCACCACACAACCTGTCAGGACCTTGACCATCCATCCTGTATGGGTGTCACCCGATAACAGGTCACATACTTCCTTACAAAACTGTTCTCCCTTTATTTTTCCTCCTCTTCTGTAGGGAGTTTCCCCCTTTCACATGTTCTTCCAAATTTCAGTGCACACATAAAACTGTTTTACATGACTATCATTAACAAAACTGGGGCAGCTGGAAATCAGAAAGGTCAAAGCCAAGCGGGTATGATCTCTTTCAACCATCCGCAACCAGCCCAGCTAACAGCACACAGTGCCAGAGATATCCTTGGCTCTGAGTGCAGTGCACTAAGCCATTTAATAAGGGCGACAGGCAGGAAAGTCATCCAGTTCCTGTGAGCAGTGAAGTTCAGAGACCATATGTGAGGATGATGAGGCAAGGCACCTGGAGAAGAAATGGTGCAGGATATGGAGTTTAGCAAACAGCTCTCCAAATGCTGACATGTGCTTTGCCTAAGTCTTTTGTTTTATGTTAGCTCTTATTGGTTCTGTTAAAATGAAGTGGGTTGGGGTAGGGGGGAGATACATGCAAAGTGACAACAGACTTCCTGAAGCAAATTAATCCAATTCAACTAATATGTACTGAGCATCTAACTTATAGTTTCAGTAAAGTCTCTATTTGGGGACATGAATTGAACAAAAATCCAAACACAACACTGTTACACAACAACAAAATCCCAGCAGCCTGTCCTAGCAAATGGATTAGTGATTCTCTCATTTGTTGTCAAGTCACATCATGTCTGGATGTTTGCTCTCACTCCTACCTGATCTGTCAGGTACTTGAGATACAGAGGTGGGAAAAAAAATCTGAACTATTAAACTATCTGTGCAAGAAAGACAATAACCTTATAACCATTGTGTAGATAACTTACGGATATCTACATTTCCATGAGCTTTGTTCTTATAACTTCCAACAAAATCCTCCTTTCATCTCCACAAAAAACAAACAGGAAATGCTACCCACTGGTTTTTTTTTTTTTTTAAGTGAGTTCTTTTAATAGCTACACTCTCAGTGAACACTTTTGCTTCTTCCATTAGTGAAGACTGTCGGCACATGGGCACAGCTGAATGCACCCCTGTCTTTTCATTTGCCTCAAACACTGGCAGAGCTGGCTCTACCTGAGATTGCTTCTGCCTGAATGGTAGGGGTGATTTCCTCAGTTCTAGCTCAGAGGAGCCTGTGTTTCACAACATGATCAGCTCTTCTCACTGTCCCTGCAGACTTGTGGACTGGGCAACAGGAAGGCACAGTTGATTTATTGGCAGTCCTTACCTGAGAACCAGATGAGAATATGTAACAGGTTAGAACTAATTAAACCATCACTGCATATTTTAATCAGGAATGTACAACCTACTGCCTTGTTTTAATAAAGGTGGGTTTTTTTGGTGGGGGGTAGTTAAGACAGGGTTTCTCTGTATTGTCCTGGAACTCACTCTGTAGACTAGGCTGGCCTCAAACTCACAGAGATCCACCTGCCTCTGCTTCCCAATGCTAGGATTAAAGGCATAAGCCACCACACCTAGCAAGGTAGTTTCTTTTACGTCATACCTTAAAATTTATTTTTCTAAAACAAAAGTCAGATTAAACACTCTTGGGGGAAAAGGATCCTTCAATTTATAGGGCAGCATTATCTATAGTTAAGGCGAAAGAATAAGGAATTTTATACTTTTTAAGAAACATAAATCAAGATTTACTTGCTGAGGCCAACTTGGGCTATATTATAAATTCCAGACCAACCTGGGTTACAGTGTAAGGTCCTGTGAAACAAACAACTGAGACTGACTTAAGACAATGACCTATGCTGACTAAGTGAACTGGTGTCCTATGGGATGAAAAGCCTTGGGAGTGACAGGCAGAACACTGAGCTAAGAATGGCCCACAAAGATCAGAGTGCATGATGTGAAGAAGGAAGGCTGCTCAGACCTGGAGGTGAGTGGATTAATTCCAGCCCAAAACTTCCACTGGAAGCCACAGGTCACAGAGGCGGCAATCACTGATCCTGGGAACAGCCAATTCAGGAGAGGGACTTAGGGGGAAGTCAGACTGCATCGCTCAGAAGAGTTTAAGGAAGAGAAAGCAAATTCTAAAAATACATTCTTTTTCCATTTCTCTGCGTGTGTGTGTGTTTGCTGTGCATGTGTGTGCTGTGCATGTGTGTGTGTGTATGTGTGTATGTGTTGTAAAAGTGCATGCTTGTGCACCTGTGCCTACACATGGGTTTTCAAGATTAATGTCGAGAATCTTCTGCAATCACCTCTACCTTCTTCACTGAGGCAGGATCTCTCAAACCCAGAGCTCAGATATGTCAAGTCTTGCTAGCCAGCTTGCCCTGGGACCCCATCTCCACCTTTTGAAACTGAAATTACAGGTAGGTCATCACACCCTCCTGACATTTGGGGGGAGGGCTGGGGAGCTGAACTCTGGTCTTCACACTTGCATTTTAACCACATCCCTGGCCCAAATTTGAACAGTTATGTTTTTGTTTTTAGCTATTTTGAGGGAAAGAAAATGGAGAAGTGGCAAGAATAAAGCTTTAAAGCTAAAAAGATTAGACTTCTTGTTCAGATACAAAAGGTTATCAGATGTCAAGGATGGGCACCTTTACCCAGATTCTGGGTCGACTTCATATCCAGCTCCATCTCCACTGAAAAGCATTTCAAAGCCGACAGGCTTAAACCTGAATTCAATACTTTTCTTCTCAAGCACACCATTCCTCCCATTTTATCCCTGTAACAGGAGCTGTCTATGGAAAACCCATGCCAAACCTTCCAGACTCTTCTCTCTTACCTACTGTCTTCGTCTCTTTTCCTGTTGCTGTGATAAAATGCCCTGATAATAGCAACTTTAGGGACAACAGGTTTATTCTGGCTATAGTTCCAGGGTGCAGTTTATCACAGTGGAAAGTCAAGGTAGCAGGGGTGTGGAGCAGCTGGTCACATGATATCCATGGTTAGAAACAGCAGGGAATGTGTGCTGCTGCTTACTTCTTTTTGTGTACTGATCGTCCATGATTACTGCCAAGGATCAATCCAAGCATAATGTGCAGGCCTTCTCACTTCAGCCACCACAATCAAGATAATCCCCAGGCATGCCCAGAGGACCAGGATTCAAGAGTCTGTTCAGTGGACAGTTAACACAGACCATCACACCTATAGCAACCTGTCCGAGCCACAAATGGCTCTGTTTCCTACTGTTGTGTATTTCTCACCTACCTGGGTGCTCTGTTCTTCTTCCACCTAGAAGCTTCTTCAAACCCCAAGCAAACACCTACTTATGTTCCAATCAAGACTATTAGAAAATGGGTAGAAGTGGGGAGAGGAGAGTCAGCACACTCTTCTCTACCAGGACTTTCCTAAACATCTCTACTGCAGCGAACTTAACATTTCCTTCTTTATAATTCTCCTCAATGGCTCCAAAGTAGTTCTTCTAACAAACACAGAAACAAACCTGCCAACTGCAATTATCACATCAAAAATAATGTATTATAGCCAGGTGTGGTATCATGTCTTTAATCCCAGCACTCAGGAGTCAGAGGCACGTGGATCAATGTGTTTGAGGACAGTATGGCAGCTTGGTCTACAGAGTGAGTTCCAGGACAGGCAGGGGCCAGGGCTCCCTGTCTCGAAAAACCCAAAACCAAACAAACAGAAACTCATATTATATGAAAATAATGTATGCTAGAATATCATAATTTCAGATTTAAAAAAACTCACTGTTCTTAAAAAGGTCAACAAGCTTAAACTCACTGTTTCAGACACATTTTATCACTTCTCATTATTTCACTGAGGGCCAATGAATGTGGTACAATGTCCTAACAGACTTGTTCCTAACACAGGAGATACTTCATTCTCCTTTTTATGCATACATCTCCATTTACCACTGGATAAACACTTCCAGAAGAAAATTTATTACCTTTAATCTTCACATCTGCAGTATTCAGTTCAATGAAGCAACAGAGAAAGGAAACAGAAGGGCTAGTGACAAGGGGACTAGAAATGAGAGAAAAGCTTTGGAAAATGGCTACCAACCTGCTAGTGAAGCTGAAGAGGAGTTAGTGATCTCTAAACCGAAAGGGTTCTTGACTTGTCTCATTTGTTTCTTGAACGCTCTTGTGCTGAACTGGATCTCTTCTGAATTTCTCAGAATTACTGGAACATCCCAACCAAACCTAAAGAAAGGTCAAAATAAACCATAACTTCCACAAACTTGAAATTTTGGCCACATAAACAGTATATTAGGCTACAGCCTTCATGCTGAAACATTTTTGTTGTTCTTTTTTTTTTTTTTTTTGCAGGTTAGTTAGGTTATTTTTGTTTTCCTTTTAAATTGTATTTTGGGGGTAGGTTGCAAGGGCAGAGGTCAGATATGATGGGATGGGCAGATGGATGGGATAGAAAAGCAGATGTGAAATACAAAAGGAATAAATAAAAAGTCTTTTAAGATATATATTAGGCTTCATTACATACGCCTTTTAAAATAAGCACAATGAAAAGCGACTCAGCCCCATCTTTTACATTGTCTTGCAGAATCAATCTAGAATTGAGGGAGGTCAGGTCTCACAGAATTACACTGTATCATTTGGCTGAATGAATCAGCATGCTCCCGAAAATAAGTAGCTCTTTCCTTTATATTGTGGATAACAATATGAGGGCATGATGATTATAGGTAAATTATACTTAGAATAAATGACATGGCCATTATAAAACCAAATCCTTAAAAGATATAAAAATGTTTCCTCAATATACAGACTATATGTTATGATTTATGAGGCCAGGGAACTATCAAATAGCTATTTAGAATTTTTAAAATAACAAAGCAAAATATCAAATACAGACTTTCATTCACATAACATACTTTTAAAGGTCATATAAACTATGCCAAAGCATGAATTACGACAATCCACACAGAACAAGCTTTCAAATAAAGAAACCAAATGAGAACAAAAAAAAAAAAAAAAGAAGAAGAAGAAAGAAAGAAAGAAAGAAAGAAACCAAATGAAATATCTAGTAAAATTACAAACCAGGCAAGTTCACTCAACCTAAATAGTGCCCTATAATATATCCACAGTTGGGATCAGTGGACTGCCCCTGAACAGGGGGTCCTAAAATGATTCCACAGTTGAATCAGTGGACTTCAGCCATGTTCACACTTGCCCTTTTCTCCAAATACACAGCACTGACAGGGAAGGGAAAAGAGATAGAAAAGAGCCTGTGGAAACAAGCAAACTGGCATATTCCAAGGAGAAGGTATTAACAGTCAGCACTGAAAAGAAAAATACATTGCTATAACTATATGGATAATCTTCATTTTATAAGGGCTGGAGAGATAGCTCAGCGGTTAAGAGCTCTGGCTGCTCTTCCAGAGGACCCGGGTTTAATTCCCAGCACCCACATGGCAACTCATAACTGTTTGTTCCAGTTTCAGGGGATCCCACACTCTCTTCTGGCCTCTGTGGGCACCAGACACAAATGGTAACCTTCATACATGCATGCAAAGCACCCACACACATAAAATAAAACAAAAATTTCAAAAATACCAACTCTAGAAGAGGCAAAACTAACCTATGAAATAAGAAGAGCAAGATTGTTTCTGAGTGTACAGAGCAGGGGAGCCTGGGAATGTGCATGAAGAACCTTCAGTGTATGGTGCTCAAGACCAGATTATATAGATATGTATTTGGTAACACCCGGCAATTAGCAGTCTTACATTGCAGGTAACTATCATTTCAAAAGAAAACCTGCTGGGTTTGGTGGTGTACACCTTTTTGTATGTGTGTGCTTATTTTATTAATTTATTGTTTACATTCCAATCCCAGTTCCCCCTCCCTCCTTTCCTCCTGCTTCCCCCATCCCATCTACTCCTCAGAGAGGGTAAGGCCTCCCCTAGGAAGTCTACTAAGTCTGTCTCATCATTTCGTTGAGTCAGGACCAAGGCACCTCTCCACCCCCCACACCCCTGTGTCTAGGCTGAGCAAAGTATCTTTCCATATAGAATGGGCTCCACTAAGTCAGTCTGAGCATTAGTGTTAGATCTTGGACCCACTGCCAGTGGCCTCATATAATGTCCCAGTCACACCATTGTCACCTGTATTAAGGGAGTCTAGTTGGGTCTTATGCAGGTTCCCAATTTGTCAGACCTGGGTCAGTGATCTTTCACTAGCTAGGGTCAGCTGATTTTGTGGGTTTCCCCACCATGGTCTTGACTCCTTTGTTCATACTTTTGTTCCTCCCTCACTTTGATTGTACTCCAGGAGCTTGGCCCAATGGTTGGTTGTGGATTTCTGTATCTGCTTCCATCTGTTTCTTGAAGAGGGTCCTAGCTTCTCTGGGGTTGTTGATTGTAGGCTTGGTATCTTTTGCTTTATGTCTGGTGTCCACTTATGAGTGAGTACATATTATATTTGTCTTTCTGGTTCTGGGTTACTTTACTCAGGATTTTTTTTTTTTTCTAGTTCTATCCATTTGCCTGCAAATCTTAGGATACCATTATTTCTTACTGCTGAGAAATTACTCATTGTGTAAATATACCACATTTTCTTTATCCATTCTTCAGTTGAGGGACATATAGGTTATTTCCAAGTTTTGGCTATTACAAATAATGTTGCTATGAACATAGTTGAGCAAATGTCCTTGTGGTGTGAATGTGCCTCCTTTGGGTATATGCTCAACAGTGGTATTGCAGGGTCTTAAGATAGGTTGATCCCTAGTTTTCTGAGAAATCGCTATACTGATTTCCACAGCAGCTGCACAAGTTTGCACTCCCACTAGCAATGAGGAGTGTTCCCCTTTCTCCACATTCTCTCCAGCATAAGCTGTCATTGGTGTTTTTGATCTTAGCCATTCTGATCTATGTAAGATGGAATCTCAGAGTGGTTTTAATTTGCATTTCCCTGATGACTAAGGATGTTTAGCATTTCCTTAAGTGTCTTTCTGCCATTTGAGATTGTTCTGTTGAGAATTCTCTGTTTAGATCTGTACCCCATTTTTAATTGGATACTTTGGTAGTTTGATGTCTAGTTTGTTTTTTTTTGTTTTTTGTTTTTTGTTTTTTGTTTTTTTTTTACTTCTTTGTATATTTTGGAGATCAGCTCTTTGTTAGATGTGGGGTTGGTGAGGAAGATCTTTCCCATTCTGTAGGAAGCCATTTTGTCCCATTGACCATGTTCTTTGCTTTACTTTACAGAAGCTTCTCAGTTTCAGGAGGTCCCATTTATTAATAGCTGCTCTCAGTATCTGTGCTACCGGTGTTTTATTTAGGAAGTAGTCTGTTGTGCCTATTTGTTCAAGTGTATTTCCCACTTTCTCTTCTATGAGGTTCGGTGTGGTTGGATTTACATTGAGATCTTTGATCCATTTTGACTTGAGTTTTATGCATAGCCATAGACATGGGTGTACACCTTTTAACCCTAGCACTTGGGAGGCAGAGTAAGGCAGATCTCTCAATTAGAGGTCAGCCTGGTCTACAGAGAGAGTTCTAGGACAACCAGGGCTACACACAGAGAAACCCTGTCTTGAAAAAAACAAAAAAACAAACAAACAAACAAACAAAAAACTAGAGGGGCTAGGCCTCTAGGGAAATAGATGGCTCAGTGGGTAAAGTGCTGAGCAGGTGTGAGGACCTGAGTTAGAATCCACATAAAGTTGGCATGAGAGTATGTGTCTGCGCAGTGCTCCAACAGCAAGATAAGGTGGAAGCTAGTGGGGCAACTTGGCTGGCAGAGGCAGTAGAACAAAGAGATCCTGTCTCAAACAAGACAGAGGAGAGGACTCCACTGGAGAAGGCTGCCTTTGACTTCCAAATACATGTGCATACACATACATGCACATAAACACATCATACCACACACACACATAAATACACACATGGGGTGGGTAACTGAACATACCAAAGAAAACAGAACTATAAAAACACTGAACTTTAGCTGGTGATAGTCATGCTCTAGTACTAGGGGTGAAGAGAATGTACTTTGTGGTACATCTTGGAATAAGAGGGACACATGGTGGGACAGAAGAAGGGAGGAATGGGCAGATATGTAATGTAATAAATGTTAATGGCAGAATCTAAGCATTGGGTAATGTATGTTCCCTATGTAATTCTTCCCTGTACCCCTAATGTTTGAAAATTTATAAAATAAAAAGTTGGAGAAAATGAGACATAGCTGGGCAACTATTTTTAGGAAAAATACACTGAGAAAGGCTACTGGCATGAATTGATGGGTTCTATGCCTGGAGCAGGTAGTGGAAACTAAGCCTACAACAAAGGCTGGTATAGGCCATGCAGGCAATGCAAAGGTTAGGCCAAGGCTCACACCAAAAGCTAGTTGGGCCAGTGTCAATCTACAACATAGTGTCATTGTAATCCCTTGTCCTTCGCTGGATGTCTAAGCATAAGGTAATAATAGATAATTATAAATAGTAAAACAGTGAAGATAAAAAAAAGAATAAGACAAATAAAAACCCTTCCACTAATATTAGGTAGCAAAGTAAAATTTCATAATAAGCTATCAATCTAGTGATAAAAGGAGGCCAATAAAATTAACTAACAGAATAAACAGTTATTTAAGATGATGAACTGAATTTTACTGAAGTTAAATAAGGCTGCTGTGGTCCAGCCAAGGAAGAGGAAAAGTACGCCTCTAATAGATCAAACTGTTTCAAAGGAAACTAACTGTAACCCAGTACAAAGCTTAAGATTATGTGTAAGCTCTAAGAAAAATTCATGTTTTCCAATGTTTATAATGCTTGAAAAAGTTAACTAGTATGCAAAGAAGCAGAAAGTATGAACCATAAAGAGATAAATTAATCTATAGAAATATATAAAAATGATAAAGATGCTAGAATTTTTCTACCTTTTTATACTAGTTGATAATCTTTATCTTTTAACTGGTGACATCTACATAGTTGCCAGGACTGTATTCCATGTGCTTGAGAAGGCTAATGAGATTGAAGACTATATAGACCTAGAAAATAGTTTAAAACACTCAAATCAGTTTATACAGATGACAAAGGCAATGTCTGAGATGAAGAATATGCTGGCCAGGCTTCACAGCAGATCAGACACTGAAGAATGGAACAGAAGTAAATCTGAAGATACTATAATAAAAAGTGATACTAGGGATGTGGCTTGGTGGTATACTGCCTACCAAGTAATAGGTTGTAGGTTCAATTC